TTCCGAAAGGAAATATTTTTTTCAGTGAGCACAGCACTGCCAAGAAAGCCCTGGCCATCGAAACAAGGCCTTTGCGTGCCAGTTAAGAGCCCGAAATCAAGGGGTTAATGCATATGCCACACACTCGCTGTGGCACTGCCATGGAAAATTATCTATCTGCGGCCCATCCCATCGCATTACCAAATGTTGCAGCCTGAAATACTGTAAAATGTTCCCAAACGTTTCGTTGGCCCATGCTAATTATGGCCAGTAAATTAGCTGGCGCGACCTTCGATTCGAAGAGCTGGTCTGAGTTTTTTCGATAATAAGTCAAAGTATGTCGGTTTTGATTGATTAATTCAAATCGAACTGGGCTACGAATTGAATTTTTAATGGCACCATAATTTGGCAGCAATTAAGTGTGGAAGAGGGTAGGAGGGCCGCCATGACGATTGAGTTAAAAGGGTTGGTAAACTAACAAGTTATGGAATGGTTCATACTGATAAGACTCTTTTGTAAAGGGCATTCCTGCTTCAACTTGCCCATTTCTCTACGACTTTTCTTTGTTAAGTTTTTTTCTGGTTGCCCAGCTCAATCAAGTTGACACTAACACATGTCGGGCCCTAAGTGTTGGCCCCCCATACCCTTCCATTCCACGCCATTCCGAAAATGGGAGAAAAGCCTCTATTAATAGCGCATTAATTGATGATTATGTCGGTGGAAAGCGTCGTTGACAAACTACGTATCTGATGGATACATGCAGTCGAAAATGCTCATGCAGTTGTACGCCGCTGAATGCTGCCATTAATCAAAATGTTGCTGCTGATTTTCGAAGAGCTTTGCTGCGGTTAAATATTTTGAGCGGCAACACATGTTGCCAGTGTCATAAAGCCCAATGATTTGTCGTCGGTGTGTGTGTGTGTGTGTGTGTGTTGGCCAGGCCGCAGCGACAGGCTTTGCAACATGCTCAACTCCAAACTATTTACCGCCAAAGCGAAAAAAAACCGAAAAGGCAGCGAACTGCAAGTACTGCGAGTATCTTGGCATCGTTCTCGCAACTGCATCCGATAGATACTTGAAACCGCAAACAAGCTGCAGTTTCGCCGAGCCAGATGCTATGGATAACTAGGGGGCTGGGGGCTGGAGGCGTGGCATTGTGCGTTTTGCGGTTTTGAGGTCTCGGTTTTCTGGCTCTCATTTTCGGCTACGGATTTTGCGTAAAAGTTTTCGAAACATTCGCTGAACTATGGCGAGCATTTTCGTATTCAAAAACTAGTTGTGCTGTCAGCATTCATCCGCTGGATAGATAAATGCGAGTGCTTATATAGAATTGCGGAAGCCAAAGTTTCGCCAACAACTTTATGGGTATTTATTGATTTTAAAAATAGTTGCGAGCGAGTTGGTCTGATTGATGGTTGCATAGTTGCCATAGAACTTATGGCCCCTGGATTTTGGCGAGTGGATTCGTGAGATTTCGGAGGGCTGTATGAAACGCAAAGCGATCCAAATGTTGTTTTGTTTCGAGTTTGTTGCGCCAGTGAATAGTTAAAGTTTCGGTGGCCAATTCTGTAGCATTCTGTAGACCAATTGGAGTTGTTTAGCCCCGCTAATGGCGGCTTTAAGGGGCCCCGTTCTGATTCGATCTGAATATCAATCTCGTGTGTGTTTCGTAAGTGGCGGCTTTTGGCCTGGAATTGGCCCGGTCTAATGCCATTGTGGCAGCTGGGCCTGCTGCATTTGGCCACCGGCAATTACCGGCAACAACACATGCATTACGCTTCCCACCTTCGCATATTGGCCAGGAACTCAACTTGGTCGAAACTTTCGCCGAAATCTGCTCGGGTAAAAGTGAGGCTGCCGGCATTGGCCAGAAGTCTTTCGGGGGCAGCAGCCAAGCCAACGAGACACGACTCCAAATTAACACGTAAATTGCAGCGGGTTAACACGCGTTCCGGTGCAATTGGAAAGTGTTGCCAATCCAAATGCCCTGTCTCCGTTTCAAATTTACTTAAAGTCTCTTTCTCTGCAGACAGAAAAATAAGATCAAATATTAAGAAAAATATATGGGGTTTGTTTCTATCTTTAAAATATGTACCTTTGGCTTACAATAATATTTAATTTTTTATAACAAAAATAAATTAAATACAATTTAAGGAAATTCCTCATTGGAAACGTATCGGTTATCTCTGTTTACGAAGAAGTACAATATTATTACCCCTTTTAACACCATTTTTTCTGAATGTACCCCTGTCTTAGCCTCGTTAAAGGCTGCTCGCTTGGCCGAATGACTAGCGGGCCTTGTTACAATTAATTGCATATGCCGAGCTACATTTTTGCATACCGGCAACATGGTGCAGTTAACAATAAATTAGCGTTTAAAATGCTATGGCGGAGCCCACCTTCTCCGATTCCCCTGTTCTTCGGCTCTCGGGTATAGAGGTCTGGAGGTCCGGCTCGTTAGCCCTTCAAGATCACGCAGGCGACGTCGGGCGATCAATCAAGAGCCGGGGTAATGTCTACCCATCGCAACACGATAGTTTAGCTGAATTGCGCAATTAATTAGTTTCGTGTTAATGAGCAATGCGCATCATACCGTGGTCATAAGAAGCGCTCCAGACACTCCACACCACTCCAGTGCAGCGCACTCGATGCGACCAGGAATTTTTTAATGGCTTTTTGCGACCGGGCGCAAAGTAAACTAGAAATTTATGGCCATCAAACAGGCTTTGCAATGAAGTCTCACTTAAAGTTTATGAAAGCCAAAGGGATCCTCCACTCAAAGTCAACGATTTGTGGTAAGAAAAAAAACAACAAGGAGTGTGGAAACTATAGCAAACTTTTAGTTTCCGTTGCAAGTTACACAGTTACACAGTTTAAAAACGGAATAAATGAATGCTTTATTCCTGATATAATAAATATTAAGTAATATATTGTTAATAATTTTAAAATTTAAAACTACCTACAAAACTATAAAACTACCTACGTCCAAACATTATATTTCATTTAAAAAGTTTATTTTGTTACTTTTATTTTTCGCAGTGGAAAACCCACCCATTGCCGGCTTGACTTATGGGGATTCACATTTCCAAGTCATTAGAGGCCGGCTTTTTATTTTATTTTTGTGGCTGGTGCCATCAAACTCATGTTGCTTCGCATAAAATACAATATTCGAGGCCTCCGACGGCTTTTACCCTTTTATTGTTGTTCCTTGATAGGCTTCAAAATGCCACCGCTCCTCCGCCCGCAAGCAATGTCAAAAGTTATGAGCAAACAATTTTCTGCTTAAAAGCGTCTGTCACAAAACTTTCGAGCGCCCCTTGTCAAGCCAAACAAATCCCGTATTGTGCCGCCCATGTCAGGCAATACTTTTCACAATTTGTCTGCAATTACGACAGCCGGAAAAGTTCGGTAGCTCGACCCAGTACTCCTGCTCCAAAAATGAAATTCCTACGTGATTTGGTTTTAACGAGATTTGTCCCCGGCAACCAACTATCGACAATGCAAATACAAGCGAATGTATCGAATGTTCTGTAAATTACTGCTACGTCCATTGTGGGGCGTGGCCCCGCCCTTATTATTTGCCACACACAATGCGAAATATCGTGTGTCAGAAATCGGGAATTGATTCAGTCCCTGATTTCTATTGTCGGTCGTTCGAAAGCGTTTTGTCAGCGATGCGTGTTGTATAATGTTTCGCATAGTTTTGCAGCTGAAGTGCTTCGGTTCGGTTCAGTTCGATCCCAGCCCCGCCCTAGGATCCTGTCAGGATACATAGTTGCAAAGTGGCGACAAAGGGAGCAGTTCACATTTTCAAGGGTCCCTCCGCCACTCGCTTTGCCAACTGACCGTTTTCGCTTTATAATTTGACAATCAATTGACAGTTGGGTAAACAGAAAAACACAAATGCAAACACGCCACGCACTCGCCAAACGCAGAAATATGCAACAAAGCCCTTGACAATAAAAATATAGAATAAAATATCAAATAACTTGGCAAAAACTATTTGAGAGCAAATTGCGTTGGCCAACTTGGATTTCCCCATGACATTAGTTGAGTGCCGGAAACTGAGTGCTTGTGTGCGCAGCTGGGGTTGCCCATGCAACCTTTGAGCTGTCAGTAAGTGTGGAAACTATGGGTTCGCAACCGATTAAAATAGATATGAATTTCGTATAAAAATCTATTTTTAAAAGGTTTTTTATTTTTATACCCGTTACTCGTAGAGTAAAAGGGTATATTAGATTCGTGCAAAAGTATGTAACAGCAAGAAGGAAGCGTTTCCGATCCCATAAAGTATATATATTCTTGATCAGGGGCACTAGCCGAGTCGATCTAGCCATGCCAGTCTGTCCGTCTGTCCGTCTGTATGAACGCTGAGATCTCAGAAACTACAAAAGTTAGAAGGTTGAGATTTCCCACACATATTCTTTGGCTTCCTACGCAGCGCAAGTTTATTTTAGCCGAGCGCCACGCCCCCTCTAACGCCCACAATCGCCCACTAACGATTTTAAAATGGGTCCTGCGCCCACATCTTTAAAGATTTCCGAGAAGTATAAATGCAATTTTGTTGTGTATACTTATACCTATCGAAATGTAGAAGACATTTTTCAAATCGGACCATTTATTAAAAAGTTATACGCAATCAAAATTTATATATCTATCTCCCTCGCACTCCCTTTAGCTGAGTTAAGAAAATTAGTCTGGACACCAACCCGAGTACAGCGTTCACAGTCCCTTTAGCTGAGTGACGGGTATTAGATAGTCGGGACACCAACCCGACTATAGCGTTCTCTCTTGTTAAATTTTATGATCTTTGATTCAAATTATAAGCAAACTACCTCTGGCGAATGGGAGAAGTTTTGTTCTTTAAATGTAAAACAATTTAACCCTTAAATTGCAGACCAAAACTTGACTTTTAGTGAAATTTAACACTTACTTATTATTATTATACATTCAGCATGATCAGACAATGCGAAAATTATTTCTCATAACTTGACTTTCATTTAAATGTCATACGCATCTAGTAATATTCTCATTAGTTTAATCAAAGAATTTTACACAGATTAATTAAAGCATTTTCAGCATGATTAGATATTTGGAAAATTATTTCACATAAGACATTTTCCTCTATCTAAACCTCAAGCCAATAATGTCCAAGATGTCCTCCTTGGTGAGCTTTTCGTCCTTTTCCTCCGCCTTTTGCGGGGCCACTGGAGGCTTGGATGGTGCCGGTGTTGGAGCTGGTTTATTGGGCAACACAGGAGCCTTGGGAAGGGGCGGTGCTGGGGGAGCGGATGCGTTCTGGTTGGGACGATGTTGTTCCTTGACCGTTATTTGAAATTTACTCTTTGACTTGTCCCCCAAAACCACGACGATGGGTGGCTGGGTCTCCTGGCTGGAATGGCTGCTCGAAGGGGGCTTCACCCAGCAGCGGTAGGTGTCCAGGGATACGCCATGTGGCGGTGGCTTTGAGAGCAGATCCTCACTTTCAGTCTCCCTCTGCTCCTGGTCCACATTTGTCTGGGGCTCCTTCTTGACCGCCTTCTTGATCCCAAAGGGCGTAAGGTAGGTGAAAAGGTGTGGATAGGCATGCTGTTTGATTTCACAAGTGCAACCGCACTCGATGTCGTGCTCCTCCTCTTCGACCGCCTCGTGTTCCTCCTCAACCTCAAACAGCTTTTCCCTCTCCTTCAGCCGCGCCATCCTTTCGACACTGCTGCCCCGCAGTGGAGCCACATAGCAGAAGTCCGTGTCCTGATCCTCCAGTCCAGTCCTGGACAACTTCTCGCCCAGCTGCTCCTCCTCGCCGGCACCATCCTGATCGAAGGACGGTCGACAGGTGCACACTCGGCAGGTGCAGGTACACTCCGAGTCGCAGGACAGCTCGTCCTTGGGACAGGGCGGACACACCACCTCCAGCGGAGGGAATGGCACTCGGTGCTCGGGGAACTCGTCGTCCTCCTCGGTGAAGGGCAGCCATCGGCAAATGTACGGTCCCTGGCTGCACTCGGCCGTAATCTCCGGCGATTCCCGGGCCTGTGCATATTCCAGGCAGCATCGCAGATGCGGGCAGTTGCACTTGGGCTGGCTGGCCGAGGTGGTGCTACTGCCGCTCACCGGAGTCGGCTTTTTGGACATGGCCTGGTCCGCCCTCCTCAGGCTGTGATTGTGCCTGGACGAGGCGGAGCTCACGGCCGCCGATGGCTTTTGAGTCCCTGTCCGAGTGGAGGTCTTGGAGGGAGCACTACTGGCGGCCATATTTTGCCTAGCGTACAGAACCTCCATTTGGGTCGTGATCGAGGAGGCCGTGTTGGAGACCCCATGCGACTGGGTGGTCGTCCCCGTGCTCGTCGCTGTCCCCTGACCACACATGCAGGTCATGTTGTCTGCCCACAGAACCCGCGTCTGCAGGACGTCGTAGAGACTCTTGTAGACGCACTCGATCCACTCCTCGAACAGCTGCTCCTCGGAGTACATGAGTCCAGCCAGGACGGCATAAATCTGGGCCGTGCGTCGGGCGGCGTGCAGCCAGAGGCACTCCGCCTCGTGAGACATCTTGTCCTGCAGACAAACGTAGCGCCGTCCCTCCATTCCCGTGCCATAGTAGAAGGCCTTGTAAATATAATAATATTATAAACATGTAAAAATAATTTTTAAAAATATTATCTCCACCTTAAAGGCCCGCTTCACAATTGAGTAGGCCATCTGGGCATCCATGCGCGACATATGCGCCTCGTGAGCCAATCCGTGCAGAAAGCTCTCCTTGGCAAAGCGTTTTTTGGGTATCCGATCGATCCTTTGGACCACCTCTTCGTAGTGCTCGAGCGATCTCTTGATGACCCCCGCACTGCGCTCGACCTCCCAAGGCCGGAGTCCGCATATCCTCATCACCTTCATCACGCTGTCGGTGACGTCTTCGATGTCCAGCCGGCGGAACTCCGCCTGAAGATCTCTGTGCTGCTCACCGCAGTCCCGCTTATCTGGCAGGTGACAAGGACACTTGGGCGGCTGTGGCGGCAAAGTCCGCGACGATTCAAATGAAAACATTCTGGTGGAATTTTGGATTTACGAAGTCAAGAAGTGGAAAATTGTGTATATATCAGCTGCAATAAATATTAAGATAAATGTCTCTAAAACTACATGTGAAAGCTTTTCCATTTCGCACTTAAAACTGAACTGAAAAACCTTAAATATGAGAAAAAGTCTTTCAGAATTGAATGCTTAGATAATTATTAATTATAATTATAATTATTTCATAAAATCGAATGAAGGTATTAATTAATTAAATTAAGACAATGCAGCCATATGCGGTCCATCACTGTTGTTCAGTCCCTCCCCCGTCGACTGAAACTCGAATCACCTGCCGCTGGGATTTGTCACAGGCGACAGATTTCCCGGACAAGTGCATGGCTGCATTTCTGACGTTCCGCGGTCTTCTGCATGTGGAAAGGGGGCGGGGAAAATGCATATTTATCACAAAACCAGCACGCATGCTGATGTCGATATTTGTTTACCCAACAATTTCTGTCCCTCCCGCGCACCGTTCTCTTTATGTTTGCTGCCTGATTTACTACTGTTAATTTGAAATACTTTTATGATGCATTCCAAGCGGAAATGCACTGGGGACAAGATACACATTTCAACAAGCGACTGCGCAAAAACAACAAACAAAAGTGAGTGCCTCTATATCTCCTCCATTATGTAGTGCTCTATAAGAGAAGACTTAAGAAAACATAGTCCGTAGAAAGGGCAGAAATAAAACTAAGAACGTAAAATACCGTAAAAAATATTTAACAGGAAGCTTAATCATATAATTGTTTTAATATAATAAATTTTGAAAAATTTACCTTATTTGATAAGTTACTAAATATTTGCCATTCATCAAACCTAATGAACTTAATGACTTATTTTTATTAACATTTCACTTCTCATTTTCAGTTTGTACCTTGCTCAATGGTATTTTAAAAATTCAACATAATTAATTTACAACACACATTTTAATAAAATGAAAACCCATAAATACTTTTCCTGTACATAAATGCTTTAGTTAGTTCCTGTCACTCTGGACACAACTCCATCAAGGTCTGTCCCGCGTAAAAAGTGAATCAAAGTCTGAACAAATATTGTCATGCGGTCGTGACAAATATTTACATAGTTGGCGCGCCATCGATTCCCGGGGAAGGTGAAATGTGGTTCCCCGTGCCCAAAAATAAAATCAAATGAAATGAAATGAAAATACGACAGAAACAAAACGAGCAGCCCCGGAACGGAGTGAAACGGAAAATGCGGGCACATTGACAGTGCGGGCGATTGATTTTTCCTGTGTTTGAATTTGAATTTCTGCTGCCAGTGCCCAAGTACAGCCGAGGGTCGATTTTCCGGGGCGATCTAAAATTAATGCATTGCAAATAGATGGCGCTGCAGTTGTCAGCCACGCGGATAGACAGTCCCTAAACCCCGGGAATGGGGAATGGGGAAAGTGTGGCGGAGAGTCATTCGAGACGGACAGAATGAGTTTAATTGTTGACCTTAGCTATTAGCCCCTGTCAAGGGGCCTTTGTGTCCCCACTGCATTGTTTCATGAACTGACACACACAGTCGCCAGTCGTTCGTGCACGCATGTCTTTGTATTCCCGCAATTTATATGCAAAAAACACAACGCACATTTGCGAAAGTTTCTTAGAATCCACTTCAGACTTCAGCTCAAAAACGCTTTGGAATGCCAAAAGGCGCTGACTGACAATCGGATTTTCAGAGCCACAGAGTTTCTTTGTCGGCTCCAGAGCTTCACGATTTATAATCGCATTTGTTTATGTTGCAGCAGCAGTATTGTTTTTGATTTCTGTAGCATTCCGGGCAATGTGCGACTCATTATTATGGCCTGTGCATCGCCAGATTGTGAAATGCGTCAGGGAATCGAAGAATATAAGTATCTGTCTTATATAGCACACTTCCCTAGGAATCCGATCTATTCCTACCAATGGGGATTTTTTGTGGGGACTTACCGACAGCTAAATTCATCGGGTTATGCTAATAATCGTAATCTAGGCAGTCATGTACTACTTTGTAGGTAGTGCCAACTAACTATTTAGTTCTAGTTTTGCTGTTGAAATCAACGGACCGTTTAGAATGTCACTTCGTTTTGCCATTTTAACGCTTCTTTCAGCTGTTGGCGAGTTACGTAAGTGATGATTTAAAAATAATCTAAAATTTTTTTAATCAATAATTAAAAAAACAAAAATCTACAGCTGTCGATGTGAAAAAGTGTCGCTTTGGTAACGAAACCTGCCTGATTGAGAGCCTTAATGGTTATATTCGGGCATTCGCCAAAGGATATCCCAAACTGGACTACCGGCCCTTCGACAAACTCCCCATTTCGGATCTTGTGGTATATAATAGTTCCCAAAATCTGCCCGTTTGGATGACCTTCTCTGTGAGGAATCAAGTTCTAAAGGGCCTTGAGAACGCGACCGTACTTTCTGTGAAAGGATTTAATCGCGATCCCACCAAGACAATGATTATAATAGGAGTTCGCATTCCATGAATTGAAATCGAGGGTTCATTCGATTACCAGATTAAACTTTTCTTCGTTCGCTTCAATGGCACGGGCGCTATCACATCCGATCTACAAAATGTTAACCTTACCATTACTTTTAAGCCGTTTGTAGAATTTCGGAATAGAAAGCGATATTTAAATGTATACAGCTTGGAAACCCGGATTGAGTTGGATCGCTGCATCATTTCGATGGACAATCTTAGTGCTGAAAATTTGGATCTCACCATTGCAGTAAACAAAGTGTTTAATGATAATTGGCTGGAGTTCTGGAACGAAGTGGAACCAAGCTTTTTGCCTTACCTCAACCAAATGGGTGTGAGTAGACTGCGCAGATTTTTCCACCACTTTTCATATGACGATATTTTTGTAAAAGATAATCTAGAATAAAGTTTTTTTTACAAAACTTACACGATCATCCAGTTCAAACCTTTATCTTTAGAAAATTTTAGCATACCTTACAAACGAAGAAAACTTAATCCAGAATAAGCTGTTTTATTTTAAGACCTGTACGTATTTATTAATAATTCGACTGATTTGCAGAGCAATACAACAGATCCAATAATTTCCGCTTCATTAATTCCTCGTGATTAAGTTCCCAAGTTGTCTCTGACCTATAATATAGCGTATTTTAAAACCTGCTATCTCATCAGAACAAGCGATTTGCTTAGAACTTGCCAGGTCATCTAGCAAAATATTTATCATAATTTAATTAGTTTATGCACTATATGGGTCATTTAAATTACGCACGCAAATATTTTTAATAGTGATTAATGCTTGTCGAATTTTATTTGATTCCTGATGAGTTAAGTACTCCGGTTGCAGGTTCCCATTTCCAGTTGCTCAATCAATGCCAGGGCCCCTCTATTCCCATGGAGACTTCAATTTATCACGCTTGATCTTGATTAAAAGTCCGCACCCGCACACGAGTTCCCCTTTCGAGAGATGGAGGGCCCAGACAAGCCAATTATAGACAGTCAAAGCCCCGTGAAGATGCCAGCGATCCGATGAAGATCCAAGGGCTGAGCTGCTGGTGAATGAAAACGGAATGAAAATTATAATGCGAGCAGCAGCAAAACATACCGACTGCAATAAAGACATCAACAGTTCGGGCATCAAAGAAGCAGCTAGGCGAAAAAAAAACCAAAGGGAAAAATACAGCAAAAAGGGGAAATGGAAATCTCTTATGAGATTTCCAAAAATAATATTAAAATTAGCAACGAGGCGCGGCAAATGGTCTGTTCTTTCCATTTTCCATCGCATGCATCTGCTGCCCTCGGATCATAAATCCAGATCCAGAGACACGTCCTCAGTCTCAGTAGTCTCAGGAGGAGTAGATCAATCAGAGCTTAGTGCCAGTAATTAGGAATGATAAATGTTCGATTTGCAGTGTGATATGGATGGGTTATAAATAAACAGACAATGAAAAAACTGAAGAAGTGGTAAAAAAAATTCGGGAAAAACTGGAGTGCAGAGGAATGCACAAAAGAGGTAGGAATGATGAAATCGGGAGAATCCATTGAGTTATTTATGAGAGTATAGAATTAAGTTTACAAAATGGACCTTCCAGTTGCAATGTTTTCCAAACCAAAAGGCTTTGCCTGGGGCCTTGGTTTCTTTATTATATTTCTTCCAACCAAAAGCGGCAGTAGTGTAACCCAGTCTAGTAAATGCAAATATGAATGCACGTATATGCTTACCTTGCAGCTTTCACACGCTCAAACCGATTCCGAGCCGCAAACACAGACATCCTTCGGCTGAGGGTAATAATGTTAGCGCCATATTTGACCGCTCTGTTGGCCTTATCACGCCGAGCACAGTAGTCAGCTCGAGTGACCACCACAAAGTTGCCTGACCGCAGCACAGTGGGATGAGTTGAGTTAAAAAGCGCAAAATTATAATTTTGACCAGGGTAAAAATATGAAATATAAAATTGAATACTTTTTTATTTAAAAGAAAGTAAGTATAAATATTTTGCAAATTTCCAAAAGAATGAATCATTATTACATAATTTTTCAAATATATAGTGACCAATAAATTTCAGTAATGAATGCTAAAACAATTATCAGCAGGCGATTAATTAACACATTTAAAATGGTAGGTATATAAATTAAATATCATGAAATATTAATATGGGATCATATCATATCAATTTGATAATATCAAAGGCTAGGACTGACGATTCTTCCTAAGCCTAGGGGTAAGTAAAACAGAGATTAATAAAATGGGTTTCCCGTTCTATTTATATCTACCCACTGTGCACAGGTGCAATCGCCTGTGTGTCCCACTCAGGTTGGAGATCTTGGGAGGAGGGCAGGATGGCTGGCAGGTGCGGCGGGCATTTACAACATTTGCGGTCTGCAGGCATTTGCATTTTCCATTTGAATGGGCCACGCTACCGCACGGATATGTGTCTATAACAAAACAATTAGAAACTACGGAGCTCGGGGCTACGGACTAAGTCCTCGGCGATTTGACGCTGATTTATGAGGGGCGCAGACGGAGAAGGAGGCAGAGTGGGCGAAGTGGGCGGGGCCGGAGCCACGAAAACCGAAAGACAGGCACGTAGCAAAAGGCAGAAGGCGGGGATTAGCCATCGACCAAAAGGCAAATAAAAGAAACTTGGCACACACATAAAAAGCCAAGAAGGAGGAGGGTGGCTGGGTGGCTAGATGGCTAGATGTCTCCGTCAATTTGGCCACCCGTGGGCATAGTAAAATGCTAGTGAAACAATTATGCAATTACTTAATTTGATAGCCCAAGTGTGCCCGCGTATGTGTGTTTGGTTCTTTGAGTGTGGCTATGCGGGCTACCCTACTCCCCATTACGTATACGTAGCGTGGCCCACGACTTTGCATTGCGACCTGTAATTGCTTTCAGCGAAGAATTTGACCAACATTTGGCTCACATTATCCATGGTTATGAGTGCGGCGGACATTGCGTCCCAAGTTTTGCAGTTTTTGCAGTTAACAGCTATTACATTTTTCTTTAACTTTCGAAATTTACCTTTATCTTGGAGGATATTCCTGTCATCTTTTCACTTTGTGCTCTAATGCTGCTTAGAGTCACTAGAACAATATCCCTGCCATGTAATCACTTCTCTTGAGAAAGGGAACCAAATAACTTGTTATTATCATGGCCCGAAATATGTCACAGCACTTATTTCGTCCTGTCCCACCAGAAATTTCAACAACAATCAACACCTCCGACGCCAAACGGGGTGTATGTACGCAGAGTGCTAAAAATTGCCAGAAATCATGGCTAATATAAATCATCTTGGCAAGCAGCTTTGCATGTTTAAGTGTCATACATAAGGCAAGGCAATATGAGAGCGCTCACGTATGAGGAAAGGCGAGGGAGTCGCTCATTCGCACCCACACATAATAAACACTCGGAGCTTGCCTTAACCCTTTTTGACTTTTGCAAATGCGGATCTCGAGGCACCACCCCTAGATGAAAAGCACCCGACCAAGCCCGAACCCGAACCCCAACCCAAACCAAAACCCACCTGGGCGCACCTTTCTGGCTGTGTGAGGAGGGCTCTATTTGCTTTGCTACTCAAGTTGTGTTTTCTGTTTATTTTCGTTAGGATTTACTAAAGCAATTTTCTTTCTTGTTTCTTTAAGGCAGCTTAGAGCTTCTCTGCCCTATGTAGGTATGTGTATTCACATTCGGTCTGTGTAAACACACATTTGACATTTGCTATATTTTTTGTGCAAATAAATAGTTGAGGCAGCCCCAAGCAAAAAACAGCTGCTGGCATATGTTCTCGCCTTTCTCCACTCTGGTTCACCTGTGCAGGCGGCAGACTCCCCCGAGATTTATGCCATGTCAAGACATTTTTAATTAAGTTTGATTCAATTAGCAACGGAGGATGCCTCTGCAGGTGTAGTTTTGGGCTTGCTGCACAATTGACAACAATTGAATTTGCCATGTAAATACTTGATGTTGCAAAATGTAATTTCAAATGTTTCAGAAAGAGATTGGAGCTTTAAGTTTCCCTTTTTCCCGTTGGTATTGCGTTGCTGGATTATGGATCCATATCATGTCTGAGCGCCATATAAGAATTAAGTCATAATGCTTTCAAGCGCGTCTGTTTCAAATGCAAAAACTTGACAAACGCAACATGGCAAACATAAATAACCTGAACAAGCGGCGACAACAACAAAAACTGGAGAGGAAAGCTATAGCACACACGTTTTTATGATGTGATGGAACAGCAGCAGCAACAACGGCTAGAACAGAGACAAGAAATACAGTAAAACTAACAACTCAGTCAAGTTGCCGGTGACATACGACAAGATTCGGGGGGTGGGCGGAAAAACCAAAGGAAAAACTCACGAAACACAAAACACAAATGGGAGGTAACGAGCTTCAACACAGGCAGAAAAAGGAAGAAAGATCAAAGGCATCTGTTTCAGGGTCAATACTGGCCATAAAATAAACACTTAATGGGGAATTCAAGTCAAAGGGATTAAACGTTTTTCAGATATCAAGATCATTGTAAAATATTTCGGATAAATACAGATTGAATTTCATACAAACTTTATTTTTAGGCCCAATCTATTCAAAAAGTCTTAAAAAAGTGATTACAAAAATTATATTGCTTCAAATAAATCTTAGTTAAATTTAACTTTATTTTTTGTTTCACTATTTCATGTATTTATTTCAGTGTAAGCAGCTCCATCCGCCTGCCCCTCCGCCCCTTCTTAAATATTTTATTGCGAGCGGTGCTGGGGATTGTGAAAGGGATATGTGCGATACAGGACGAAAAGAAATTGGAATGCCACACATACGCTGCTGACGAGCGAGAAAGCACAAGAAATTTAAATGACATTTACTCACTCAGCCGAAGTGCAGCAGCCAGAGCGAGAGGGAGAAGTAGGAGTTAGGGGGAAAGGGACAGGAACAGGGCGAAAGAGCAGCTTAACTAAATTGCATAAAATTTATTTAAATGACGCAGACCAAGTGGTGGGCCAAGGGACGAGGTG